AGCATCAATTCCGATGTATTAAAAGTATTGTTTTATCATGTCGAACCCATTTACGACATTGCCAGATGACAAGACTTCATATAGTCATTCGATTTGCTCTCTTGGTTGTAGAAAATGGCGGAAGCTGCAGCCAAGTCCGTGCTGGGTACGATCAGTCGGGGACACCTCGAATGCCCGATTTGTTGCTGTCGTTTCGCCGATCCCAAAATGCTGGACTGTCTGCACAGCATCTGCCTGAACTGTTTGGAAGAGCTCACCAGCAGACAGCAACCTAAGGCAAACGACATTACTTGCCCAGTTTGCAGACAGGGAACTGCGGTACCAGACACCGGATTGCAGGGTCTACCCAACTGTTTTTTTCCTGTGCTCCCTCGTAGATGAATTCAACAAGCAGGAGCGGTTATTGGGCGACGCACCAGCGGATACTCGTACATGTGAGCAATGCGATGAGGGCTTGGAAGCCGTCTCCAGGTGCTTAGACTGTGACGGGAACATCTGCCAGAAATGCCTGGAAATGCATCGAAAGATGAAATGCACCAAGAAACATCGGATCGCCAACTTGGATCAAAGAAAAGCAGAGGTGCCTCCTGCAGTAGGTAGGAAGAACGATACCCCGCAATGTAAAAGGCACACTAACCAGGAAATTTGCTTTTATTGCGTGACATGCAATATCTTGGTGTGTGCAAAATGCGTTGCATTAGATCACCGAACAGCGGAACATGAATACAGGGAAGTCACAGATGTCATACGATCGTACCGTCAGGATGTCGGCGAGATTCTTTGCAGATTCGACGATAGCAGAGAGATATTCAAAGTCGCCGACGGTTTACTGACGCATTCCAGGAACAGGTTGAGAATCATGGTCGCCCGGGCTTGTGAAGACGTTACCACCAAAGAGGAAGAAGAGATTGCAAAGATCCGAACTAAATCTCGCCTTCTCAGAGACAAAGTAACACGTATCGGAGAAGAACGAGATAGGAAGTTCGAGGAAGTCCAAAAAAGCAACCGTGACAAGATGGAGCGGGCCGAGCAAATCGTAGCGACAGTCAATGACTTGATGCAGCAAGCTGACGACTTCCAGCTTTTGGACCTCAAACCGAAAGTGATGCATAACTTGGAGTTCCAGGAAAAAATCAAATTGGAGAAGGCACAGCTTGAGCTCTCATTCATCGCAGTCAAATGTCAAGATGTCATGACAGATACAGACCTCTGTGAAGTACTTCACGAAGAATGGCAGTTGAAGAAAGAGTTCGGGGAGGAGGGGATCGAAAGTGGACAATTTATGCAAGCACTTGAGGTTGCGTGTCTTAGCAATGGTGACATTGCGGTACTTGACAAAGATGGATATACAGGTACACATGAGTTGATGATATTTACTTCCACTGGAGAGCATAAAGTAAGCACTGAAGGGGAGATATTGGATAACCCCTGGGGAGTAGCTGCAACCTGTGATGACCTGCTGTTGGTCACTGATGGTGAGCACGTGAAGGTGTTTGACTCTAGTTTAGAATTTCTTCGTCAGTTCGCACCATTACAGCAGAAGAGAGCCGGTGATTCCAAGTGTCTTTTTGATATCGATGTGGACAAGGAGAATCGAATAGCAGTTGGCACAGAGTCCTGCATCTCGATACATAACCTGGATGGGTCTTGGATTACAACAATTCCGCGTGGCCTGCACGTTTACTCTCTGGCCGTTGGGATCAATGAACGATTGATCTTCACAAGCTTATGGGAGCACAAGTTGATTTGCACTACATACACAGGAGATGAGGTGTTCAATATCCATCCCTTAACAGCCAGCGGCTTGTGCTGTGATGACGCCGGTGACATCTACCTAAGTGAATTGGGCTCAGATGGAAGTGGTGGTGTGGTTGACCATTATTCACCTGAAGGTATTTTCATTGGGAGAATTATTCGGGGACTTAAATGCCCCAAAGGCTTGGCATTCACGCCAGGTGGAGACCTCGTAGTGGCTGACCGGACCTCTATCAAGATCTTTCAGCGGGTGCGAACAGGGTGCAGTCCTCGCTGAATGATGACAACAACCCGCCATAAATGAAAACGGTAAACTCAATCAAGACTGAACGTGTACAACAGTTTACAACTAACACGTGCCGGGCCGCGAATTGTTTTTCCCCAACAATATTTTATGGATGGTTTTTATACCATTGTTATTCGTACGCAGGTATATAATGCCATGAATTACGGAATGCCGCGATCCCTCTGATGGCGCAGCTGGATAATGCCACGGTTTTGAGATCAGAGGGTGTTAGTTCGAAACCAAATTTTTCCATTTTCTTTTCTAATTTGCGGCTTTTGAGGATTTTTTTAAAGCAAATAATGTCCAAATTTATTAGGTTCGAATTCATTTCCTTTTTTCTATATATATTTTGTTATCATGTCGCTTTATACCTCGATTCACCTTTCACTGTAGCCAACTTAACTTTGGAACTCGGTTAAAATCATCTGCCAAATATTTTATACCTCAAGAAATTCTTGCTCACATTGTGAAAATCTTCATCAATAATTGTCATTACTGCCGCGAATTTGTGATGCACTCCTCTATGTAAACAAAACAAAAATACTAAAAAGTAATACATATCTCTGAAAATCACAGAAAAAAATATTAAAATCCCCTACAAAAAGGCATTGATATCTAGTCAATTGTGATTTTTGACTCGTTTGTCTTTAGGTCAATCTGATGACTTGTTTTTGCTTTAATTAATTTTAAGAATTAATAGTTGATAAATTTAAAGTATTTATATGTCAGTTGTGTTTCATGGTATTGCTGAAAGAATACAAAGCTAAAACACAACAAGGCAAGCCAAGATAAATTTGCTAGTTTTGGAAAACGTTAATATTTATTTAAAATCGTTAAAAGTCACAAAAAACACAACATGTTTTAATCGTCCTTTTTATACAACTCAGCAAAATGTTAATGACAGGTGAACTGGATAAAAATCGCCACTTGAAGGAGTTTTGGCAACGGAAAAAGAGAAATTTCCCATGCCGCAATAATAAGGACGCCGCGAGAATAGGGAGTCCGACTATACCACTCTGTCACAAATCGTGCTCGGTATATTTACTGGAAGTCTTTTCATGCATGTGGCCAAAGGCGTCGTCGGGATTTTTTCTAGAGGGGGGCACAGCACATCCCCCTGCCCCCGAGAAACCTGAACTTTTCCAGCATATTCTCGACGAATCATTTTTCGAGGGTGGGCAGGGACATTTGCCTCCCCCAAAACCCATTACATTAACAGCTCTATGACTTCGCGCCTCCTTTCCTTTCTCCCCCCCCCCCCTGTTTGTTTGTTTGTTGCCCGTTCGTTGGCCTAACGGGGTAATCAATCCAGTTGCAAATTATGCAAGTCTAGTTCAAAAGTGACTGTTGGTCAGTCATATATAAAGACGATTATAGGGTGGCCCCGCTGAGACCGGCAAATAATCGCGCACAGATTCTGCTCAGTGCGACAGATTAATTCTCTCACAAAAGGGGAACGAGATGAGTTTTCTCCCCATCTGAAAAGAAAAGCCCTCCTTTTACAGCAGTGTTATGTTTTTCGTGCTGGAGCTGATGTAGAGGGCGCTCTTTGGCCTACTCCGCTCGCGTCCTACATCCCTGTCGAAGATTGACTATTGGCACACCCAAGTAAATAGACCCCAAGTCCGTCCGCCGAGCTCATTCATGTATGAAATTGACACTCAAATTTATTCTATATTGGAAAATTCTGAGAGCCATGGAAATAGGAAATTGAGATATAAGATATGAGATAAAGAGATATGGCAATGCACATTCTGGACATGGCTTGAGGCTTCCAAATTAAGAACATTTTGGATGCAATCGGGCCCGCATGTGGCGCTGTAACGATTACCCAGTTTTGAAGGGATCTTTGTTTTCAAGTAATATCCCTTTAAAGTGTCTTTAAAAAAAACCAGCTACGATATTTGGTGTTTATATTGGTTCTTTATTTTGCCGCTAAGGGCGCACGACCGTATGGATTCCAATTGGCCAGTGTACCCTCCTTATAAGTTTAAAGGGAATATAGGACATTTGGATTTTTTTAACTGGGTGGATTGAGGGAGGGGGGGGGGCAGTTTTGGGTTCGTAGATGCTGAAAAAAATCAAGAAAACAATCACGTTCTTGTAGTCTGGTTCCCTGACCCTGCACTTAGGATGATACGGAGCAAGTTAAAGACGTCGCAGAGAGTTGTAAGGTCAGGGAATCAGTCTAGCTGGCCTGTACCCGTTCACAGGTGTGTAATCGATTGCAAAGAAAATGTGGACTAACTAAATATGAACAATTGAGATCAGTGTTTGAAAAAAAGCCAGTTTTTTTTCCAATGCTGGTCTGCCTTCCAGCGTTGGAAATTGATACGAAAATGCCATTTACTTTTCTTGGCAAATTCAGCACAGGTGCCATGATTTTAAAGTTGCACTAGCAGTTTTGTAAGGTATTTTGTGATAGTTTTTTTTTGTTTTGATATTTGCAAATGTTGTATATTCCCTTTAAAACTTTCCTGTTCCTTTTTACTTGTACGAAAAAAATATATTTCTAACCTGAGATTGAACTTAAAGGTCTGTGCACTTATAGAATCCGTTCATTTGGTTTGCTAACAATTAATCCCTGTGTATTATATCCCACCTACCCCGACCCGACCCGGATTTTCCCCTGCAGCATAAACACTATTTCTCTCTCTCTCTCTCTCTCTCTCTCTCTATATATATATAATTATCTCCCCTACCTATCAAAAGACCATAAAAGGGCACTGCAGAACGTGATATCGTAAAAAAAAAAAAAAAAAAATCAGTAAATCAACCTTTAAAAGCCAATCATTTACATACGAATGGTTTTTCATATGCCGAGTGAAAGAGGGAAAATCCCTGCGCCTGTATTTTGTTACCTGTAGCCGATGGAGCGTAGCGGTACCTTTTGTGTGGCGCGTCGCTTTGGGTTTCTGAGCCATTCAATACTCCCTGTCGCAGACACTGGTACAAAGTAATAATAATCAAACAAGTTTTGTGCAGAATGGTACAGTCAGATGTTTTTAATGGAGCGCAAGAGGAAGTATGTAGCTGATAAAATCAAAATACATGTCGTAGTTGTGTAGCCATTCGCCATTTTGAGCTGAGTAACCACAGCGTGTTGTTGGAAAACGGGGAAAAAACGTCAGTATACCTAGCGTGGTTTACACATGGAAAACTCTTGTGGAATATAATAATAGTGCCTCCGATGAACTTGTCAACTTCGATATTTTAAGTTACTGGGGAGGTGGACGTTTACTAGGCTGTAAAAAGAGGTTTTGAGCATTGCATGTTTGCGGTACCCGAAATGTGAAGCGAAAGGCGATCGTTTTCATCATGGCGGATTCACGAGGAAGTATGTTCGTCAGCGGGTTACTTGCGACTGTTCTGATGGTATCTGTGTGCAGGGCTGATGGATATGGTAAGTCAATACATTTTGCCCATATTATCGTTTGAAGAAATATATACCATCCACTTGTTTTCATTCAGTAAGTGGAGTAAGTAAACTATACGTGAGATATTCTATTAATGTAGGTTTCAAAGTGGGACGTATTTTCCTGTCCCTGTTGCTTTGGAGCTGTGTAATGTGCCATTCAACTATCATTCAGAATGACTTTAAATGATTTTGTTTATTTGTTGAGTATGTTGTTTGGCTTTTCATGTCACTCTTAGGACGACTGCATTATAAGATAATACACAACAATTTGCTGTTCACGTCACCTTTAATAATGGTAAACCCTGATCAGTGCAAGGCACTGCTTTCCATGGAGGCCTTCAAGTTAATGAGAACCATGAGACCCATTATGTAGCACCTTTTAAGCATTTACAAGGTGCTGCGGCGCATATTGCAGCCACTGCCAGAAACACGGGGGCAAACCCCTTTTCTTACCGATAAGTGTAACTGGGTTCTTTGACGTGCATTACACAACACACGGGACCTACGGCTTTACATCCAATCCGAAGGACGAAGCAATAATGGTAAAGCGCCTTGCTCAGGAGCGCAAGCACCATGTTCCCACGGTCAGGATTCGAACCCATGTACCACGGCACACGAGTCGAACACCGTAACTATTGGACCACAGCAACCCACTTTCAATCATCGAAAAACAAAGCTACCATTTTTTATTATGAAATACCGTACTTGACTGTAAGTGAATAACAGTCTCAGGCATCCTGTGAAATCCTGACCCATGGTGTGCTGTCATTTTCAAGAAGAGGTATTTTTTTAACAGTTTCGAACCACAGTCGGCCGACCCTCGTTGAAAAAACTGACCTTTTGTTATCCAATTATAATTGTTCCTAATTGACTATATGCAGTTAGTCCACATTTTGTTTGCAATCGGTTGCACATCCCTGAACGAGTGCATACCAACTAGTCTGGCTCCCTGACCTGACAATTCCCCGACGTCTATAAATTGCTCCGTTTCGTCTAAAGTAGGGTCAGAAAACCAGACTACAAGAACAGCATTTTTCCCGACTTTTTCCAGCATCTATGAACACAAGACCTTGAACAGGTCAGTGTAACAATATTTGCAGTAAAACACTATAACCCCCAAATTCAATCATTTCTGAAACTTACAGCAAAAAAAATGTTGTACAGGGTGAGTAAAACAAAAAAAAATCCTTTGGAAACGTTCTTGTTTCCCACGAAAACGGGGAAAGTTACCACATTTTTTTCTTCGGCCAACATTGGGTCTGGGTATTGACCACCGTCTGTAAAGGTTTTACTGATATTAAGCCATGCATGCAAAGGGTGCAGGCCTTTCTTTGGGACTGCCCCAAAACACTACCTACACAATGTTTCCTAATATATTTGAGCGAATATGTAACGTCATTTAATAGCCACCACACTGTAAAATAAGTATACAAAACAACGTTTCAAAGTAGCCATGACAAGGCCACAGCTTACTATACTGTCCAAAAGGCATTGATGGCCAGAACGTTTTATGAAACATGGATAGAGTACAAGGGGACGTTAAGTTAGTAGTTAATCCGAAAATACTAAGTTAACACTCCATTGGAACGCTCTAATCCACCCGGGGAGGGCTAAGTTACGCCGCCCGGGTGGCGCAATTTGGACTCGCAAAAGGTGGAGGTTAGGCCAAAAAAAAAATATTCGGTCTCTGGTCAGACCAAAGTTCCGGAATTGACGCGGCCACGCGGCTTTTTTTTTTTTTCTTCAAGCTTGGATTGTACAGACAAGGTGGGTCCTTTTTTGCTTTTTTGGTGTCCTCATGTACATTGGTGTCCTCCATAATTTGCCTTGGTGCTTTCGATCATTTGCCTTGGTGCAATTTCCCATTTCTTGGTGCTCTTTGGTAAAAAAAATTGAGGAGGTGCGGAAATAGAGGGCGCTGTTGGAGCTACCGCGGAACATTTTGGAAAAAAAAAAGATCGACGCGCATGATTAAAATCGACGCGCGCGCTGACCAGAGACCGACTTATTTTTTTTTTGGCCTTAAGCGCAAGTTGCGCCAAAGATAACGATCTCCCCCTGCAGCGCTGAGCCGTGAAGTACCATTGGAACGCAACTGACCTAGTGCTACTTTCTGTATTAGCTTATTCGCATCGACCCACTGCGTAACACCATGGAAACACAGATTTGAAACTGGCATATTGCAAAAAAATCGGAAAATATAGGCCGAACAAACTACGTGTCCGAATGGGCTGCGCTGCAGTTAAACTCATGTACATGCATGCACAATACACTTCATGCCCAATTTCCGGACACCAACCCCTGCTTTATTTTCGATTCAAACAACATTTTACGATGAAAAAAAAAGTCAGTGTTTTCATTGGACAAAATGCCTGAATTACGGTTAGAGTAACGGAGTCATCAATAAAGAAGTTCACTTCTTACTTGAGAAAGTCGAGGGAAAAGTCCGAAAGACAAGGGCACCGTTCATGGTGCTTCAATCATGTCCATGATTCAACCATACAACTCCACTACTCCACTTGCATTCATACGTGGGGAATAATCAGTCATTATCGTCTTTCTCTTCCAACAAATGCCAGTGAAATGTTTCGCCTATGCTCTCTTCGCTATCCTCGAGATAATCATCACGATTTTTAAAGCATTGCATTTTGTACAACTAAATCTGAAATCTCCGAAAATCGCACAACATAATGATTTTTTCCACTGAATCGTTCACAAGGCTACCCCTTGCCGACCGGCCATGTGGTAGCGGACGGTACGGTGCGGTACGTAAGCTGTTACCATTGCATATTCGCACGCATGTGCGCCACAGTGATTTTTCCATTTCACCTGTCAATGTTTAATCTTATGTTCAGTCGGAGAAGGTACCGATCAGTGTTAATGCCCTGTGTGTCTACCGTTGAAACACTCCAATAACGACTGGTAAAAGAGATTAAAACTACGTTCGCGATGATTTTAACGTGCCATTTCCGTCGACTTTTCATCGGCTTTTTAAGCCACTTTTTCATCATGTGCTTCGCGAAGTGCCATCGTAACTTTTCTGTTTGAACGCAAGCTGTATTTGAATTAAGGACTCCTTATCTACAAAAGCCCAAGGGCAAATGAATTTGTACCAACTTGCGCCTCCGTCTGAACGTACACCAAGACACGGTCGGTCAATTTGGAGAACACCTTCTGGAGGTGAGGCAATCTAACGCTCGGACGGGCGCACAAACGCTAAGTGAAGCAAACAAGAATCTGAGCAGAACAGTGAAAATGTGAACCTTATCAATAAATTCAGTTTTAAGTTCAATACACTTTGTTCCATTTAATTGATGTCCTTTTATGTTATTCCTTTTATTTTCTTCATTGTCCAGAGGCCCATTGTTGCCATTGTATTGGTTGTGTTTTGAGTGGAGTTACAACGGAAGGCCTTATACTTTGCATGCATGCCTGAATATCAGTGAAACTTTTACAGACTGTGGTCAATACCCAGACCGAATATTGGCCGAAGAGAAACGTATAATAACATTTTCCGTTTTTGTGGGTATCCAAAGGGACATTGGTTTTTACTCACTCTGTATATTAACACGTGTAAAATATCAGTTGCTTCTTTCCAAAAAGCAACCTACCAAAATAACCTGTAATCAAAAAGCTTACTTGGATTAAAAATCATATTACACAACTCCCCGTTGGGTATGTTGTCGTTAAGAAGAAATTAAAAAAAGTCGGTGATTTCCAACTTTCAGTCAATTGACTGATAATTTGGAAATTTGCTATCAGCGAAGTTGTGCTGGGTTTTTCCACATTTTTTTTTCTCGAAAAGTGTCACATTCGCTGAGCTGAAACTTCAACAGGTTAAGTTTGAACATTCTTATTGATATAGGTTTTGAGTGGTGTTATTATTGAAAACGAATAAAACGGATGGAAAGCAAGTAACCCGTTAACAGGACAAAAAGTGGTCCTCAAGTCTATAGAATTACTTACATGTAATTACTGCGCATTTCAACAGAACGAAAAGGTTTGGACCTGAGATATCGTACGAGTTGGGATGTATAAGCAAAACAAAACAAACAAGATAACGTTGAAGGTGTCATTGTTTTTTCCTTCTAGCATATAGGGGGCTTGCTAGGGTTGCAGTTTGTCAGAATAAGACAATCAGAAATTCACCTTAAAGGAATTCCCTTAAACATTTTACCCACGCAGACGAAATTACAAGAGTTTTTGCTACGTTTGTATTTAAAGGCTTGTAATTACACTAGTAATTTGCTTTTAATGCATTTCCTCCGTATACAAAACAACAACACCACTCGAAAGAGGAAGGATGTTCAAAACTATAGCCTTTTTGAAGTTTCAGCACACTGGAAATGATTCTTTTCGAGGAAACAGGGAAAAACCATGCACGTGCTTCTGTTTTCGTCAATAACATGTTTTCTTTTCGAAACCCCCCCCCCCCCCCCAGAAATTGACTAATCATTGGAAATCACCTACACATCTTGATTTCTTCTTGATGAGATCAACCAGACGGATTAATTACATGGGGGGTTTAAATCCTTAATCAAATTAGGTTCTTTAATCCAATTATGTTTTTCGCTCATAATTCGGTACGTTCTTATTTGAATAAATGCTTCGCATCTTTTGCCGCCCTAAGGACGACTTGTGACGGAAACGTCGACATCAAGCAGACAAATAATGCTCAGGTAACACAACTGAGATTTAGAGTGATTCTCTTACCACAAGTGACATCTCGAAATAAAATAATCGCAACGATGCTCACGTCACCCACGACGCGACGACAATTCTTTGTCGAAGACGTGATCATGTGACGTCTTCAAATTGGCGGTGGGCGTGTTGATAATAACAATCAAACGATCTTCGACCATTTTATTTGCCGCACGCTGATTCGATACACGGTGAAATATGATGATCCGGATGCGCGAACGACGTCGTAGCTTCACCGTGTGAGGTAAAGTTTTGCAGCGTTTTCTACCTCGCGAGGCTGTGAG